TTTTTGTAACTCGTGTGTTTTTAACGTAAGCTTGTGTGTGAATGAGAACATTAGTTTATTACTCACATGCTGTGACAGCCGCTTTCTGTCCGTGTGCTTCGGATGTGTGCTCTCAGAAAACCGTATATCTGAAGTTTAAACTCATATGGTTTAAAATGCATGATTTTGGCGCGATAAACATGATAATCAGAACCGAAACAGATGGTTTTTAACAGGTCTGAGCTGTAATGGCGCAGCTCTATTCTGGAAAAGGGGAGGGGAACAGCAGCTCGTTTGCATTTAAAGAGACAGGCCCGATAAACAGCGTGTTTCTGCTTCCACTCAAAATAGGCATTTTCAAAATGATATAATAAATGATCTGTGGAGTATTTTGAGCTGAAATTTAACAGACACATTCTGGGGACACCAGAGACTTATATTACATATTGTAAAAAAGGGAATAATATGTCTCCTTTAAAGGGCATTTTATATTTTCATTTGTGAAGTACACTTATTTTTGTGTTGACTAACATACTAAAGCACATGTAAAGCACTTGGTTATCATTTTAACTGTAGCGTTTTATTAGATATTACATTTAAAGTGAATATATTTTAAATGAACTAAACTGGATCTTCATCACTTAACCCTAATTTGTAATTACAAATATATTTAATGCACGACATACACGTCTGAACAGAAATTAGATTAAAGAATGTTTTAGTTTACCATAGAAAAAATTTAATTTAAAGATGTACTTAAGTCCATATAAAGACGTACTAAATAAGTCCTATATAAGTTGACCAAAAAAATAATTTTTAAGTTCAACAAGTTGCATTTAATATAATTTAAACTATAATACATCGTCATGTAATTATAAATAACATGCAATTAAGTGTATACACTTTTCAAGTGTATTATTTCCGTAATAAGTGCTTTTTAAAAATATGCTTATTCTTCACAAGGGTCTGTTTTAATGGTTTAATACCTCATGAGGAAACAAAGAGAGAATGTAGGTTTTTTGGGTGAACTGCTATCAGTTTAAGAAGCGTCACCGCCAGGTTGTCTTGAAGCTGGACACTACGCTGAGAGATGGACTCTGGATTCAGCTTCACAGATCAGATTCTGAGGGCTTCACATTTACTAATGGCTTTGATGACCTCCTTTTACCTGGCATTACTTTTACATAAAGCTGCTCTGTAACCGCGTGCTCTCCTGGCACGGTGAAATGCCCCCACAGTCTCTCTCCCCTTACCAGCCTACAGATTGGGTATCTACATGGAAAATCTCCACTGGGCCAGATGCCCCGACCCAACAGCACACTGGTGTCTAGACCGGGGCCATAGGAGCAATCTGAAAAGTGTGTGTGGGGTAAGAGGCCACAATATTAACCTTATCAGCTTAGCTCATGAATATTAAATAGGTGATGTCATTTTTGCCCAGTAGCCCCAGTGGATTTTCCAAGAGGTATTTAAGTGGTCCTTCATGCAAAGCGCATAATAAAACAAATCTAAAATTAGTTTCTTTATGATCTCTTTTGGCTTATAAACAGTGTTCTTAAACACCTCCATTGCTGGGTAGTCCTGCCCTAAAAAAAGGACGCATATTTCAGTGACAAACATCACACACCTGTTCCAAGCCATCTTTGAGCGAAAGAAAACAGTCTCTCAACTTTAAAACATCCTTCTTCTCACTTCAGCTAAAATTATACTACAACTACATATATTAAAAACACTTACACTGCAGTTACGGTTACAGTTAGAACAAATACATCCTGTTCTCTGGATTGCCACAAACTCAGACAAGCAGAGTGATACAAACAGTGTGTGTGTGTGTGTGTGTGTGTGTGTAAATAAACTTAACCATATTTTGGGGACAAATTTGTACCCAAAGGTGAGCTAAACCTGACAAAATCTCCAAAAACCTTCCTTTGGGGACGTCCTCATTTGCTAAGTAAAGACGCGTGTGTGTGTGTGTGTGTGTGTGTGTGTGTGTGTGTGTGTCCCATTGCTGTTGGACTAAATATCAGCACTCCTGGTGTTCAACCAAACAATTTAGAAACATAAATCAGTCTCATTCTTACTACTTTCATACATTCCATTAACCTACTATACAACTGTTCAAACAGTTTGCCCTTTGGAGTCGACCTAGAACTAGTGCCATCTAGTGGACAGAACACCATAAAGCACAATGCAAACTCCTAACGCTCTCTCAAAACATAATGCACAACACAGTGAAAAAAGCATTAAAGGGTTAGTTCACCCAAAAATGAAAATTAGCCCATATATTACTCACCCTCAAGTCATCCTAGGTGTATATTACATTCTTCTTTCAGACGAATCCAGTCGGAGTTATATAAAAAATTGTCTTTGATCTTTC